CTGCATAGCAAATACCTCGGCTCCCGCCCCGCGTGGGGCCCGCGAATGAGATGATTTACTCCTGTTTTGCATATTAATTGATCTAAATGCCACCCGTTCTGGAAACAATTAAGAGGCCCTCTGGCGCCCGGGGCCGCGCGGTGGAGGCGGCGAAGTGCCGGGCGCCCCCTCGGGGCTGCGGCCGGGCGCGCGGGGGTCGCGGGGAGCGCTCGGGGGCTGCGGGGAGCGATCGGGGGCTGCGGGGGGGCGTGGGGAGCGCTCGGGGGCCGCGGGGGGGCCGCGGGGAGCGCTCGGGGGCCGCGGGGGGGCCGCGGGGAGCGCTCGGGGGCCGCGGGGGGGCCGTGGGGAGCGCTCGGGTGCTGCCGGGGGGGGGATGGGGAGCGCTCGGGGGCCGGGCCGGGGCCGCGGGGCGGGGCGCGGGGAGCGCTCGGGGACCGCGGGCGGCTGCACGGGGGTCGGGGTCTGCCAGCCCCGGACGCGGGCATTGAACTACCTTGGTGCGGCGCCGGCCCGCGCCCCCAGCCGCAGAGGCGCCCGCGCCGCCCAGGGCAGGGCAAGGCCGGGCAGGGCCGGGCAGGGGGTGCGCAGCCCCCGCGCCTTCGCAGCCGCCGCCTTCTCTTGCCGCCTCCCCGCCTGCGAATTGGGCTGTCCTCGTGACCCGCACTTTTCGGGTGAGGTTGTGTGACGCAGAGAGTGGCAAGGGGTCTCCGGGCATGCCCTTTCTCTGGGTCATTCTGCAGCCACGGGAGGGGCTCCGCGGATATGCCATTACTGTTTGCAGAGCTTTCCAGACCCCCTGGCGTGGGCCGAGAATGCCGGCGGTGCCTGGCCTCCTGCAGCCCCGCCGCCCTCACACTGTCTCCAGGCCCGCAGCGGAGGGGGCTCCGAGGAAGGACCTTCAATAGAACCCGCGTCCTCCCCACACACACCTGATGCTTTCCTTCCCCGGTGTCTCCACCGTAGGACCTTGGCATCGCCACCCACCCCTCTGCTGGGGCTGAAACCAAGTCGTCCCTCTTGACTCTCCTCCCTGACACCCATGGCTCTCACCCCAACCCCACCTGCACGTCCACAGCACCTTGTGGCTGCCCTCCGGCCCCCTGGCCTCTGCCGTCTCCTCTGTTCTGACAGGTGCCCAGAACTCTCCTCCTTGCTGTCACTGCGTCCTGTGGGCTCCCTCCCACAGCCTTTCAAGAGAGAAATCAGATTCAGTCACTGCACCCCCGCCCACGCCTCCCCTTTGCCCCCAGAAACCTACAGCCTTTCCATGGCCCCCAGGGCCCCATAGCAATCAGCCTTCTTGCGCGCCTCAGCCTCTACAAGCATGTTCCAAACCTCTCTTAGGAGAGAGTATGTACGGGGAAGCCTGAAGGATGAGAGGGAACTAGCAGCTGAAGAGTCAGGAACAGTGACTCTCTTCCTCCGGCAGAGGGAACAGTAAGGGCAAGGACCCTGAAGCAGAAAAGCCCTTGGTCACTTCTGGGGTGGCCCAGGGCCTCTGTGGCTTGGTGTGCAAGGTGAGCACTGTGAGGGGAGAGGATCAGGGAGATCGGCAGGGGCCAGATCGCTCAGGGGAGGAGTTTGGGTTTTCAGCAGGATTGAGACCTGACCCAGTTTATGTGCTCAGGAGCATTTGTGAGTGAGAATCGTGAGTTCTTGCCTGAGGGACCACAACAGCCTAGGAACTGCCCCCACCACTCCCTCTGTCCTCCCCCCCCACCAGCTGCAGCCTCATCCCCTCACCCCCACCCCAGGGCTCCCAGCTCACTGGGCCACTGGGCACCACTCCTCTTCACTGGGTCCTGTTAACTCCTGAGGACCTGGAGGCCATGTGCCCCATCCTCGCAGCAAAGGGCAGAGGCTCCGTTGATTGCTCCATGCAGGAATGAGGGCCCAGTGCTGCCAGACATTTAGATGTTTCAGGGGAAGTCTGAAATCTAGATTTTTTATGTGAAATCTCTCCATTTAAAAATATTAGATCAAAACCAAAAATATTTTAACACTGGTAAACAAACAAATTACATAGTATAGCAAATCTAGTCCAAGCCTTACTACTGACAGCCACTGGTATGGCATCTAGTACAGAACCTGATAATCTGTTATTCAGTCAACAACCCACAAGCTGGGACTGCTGACTATCGCGGGGCACTGACCTAGAGTAGAGGCTGAATAGATTCTTCTCATATCCCTTGTTTTCTTCTGGTACTTTAAGGATTTCATGATTTCATTTAAACCTTTGATTCACGTGGAATTTATTTTGGTGTAACATGTGAAATGAGGATCTAAATTAATTTCTTTTACAGATGGGTAGCCAATTGTCCCAATACTAAATATGGATAACTCCTGTTTTTAAAATGCCAACTTGATCATATAGTAACTTCCTATATATATATCGGGTGACTTCCTATAATTTCCAAGTTATATATCTATTCACGTACTTGCACCATAGTTTTAATCATTTTAGCTGTAGAACAGATTTAAAATACGTGTAAATATCTGATAGGGTTATCTCTGCTCTTTACATTTCTTTTTCAAACTTTTCCTGCGTAATGGTGCTACTGGTTTTTTCCACATCAACTTTAGAATCAACTTGTCTAGTCCCGTGAGAAGTGGCATTCTCATCGCAATTGTGTTGATGAGTAGATTAACTTAGGGAGAACTGACATCCTTATGCAGAAGACCGTGCATTGAGGTTTGGGTGTTGCAAAAAGAAAGGCTGTTTTGGTCCACTAGCTATTGTATATAGTAGACAATCAGTCACTATCAAGCAATGGCCTCATGTTGCCTGTACGCACATTTTTATAGTGACTAAATTTTGAGTCATGACAGAATCAACCTAGCTCAATTAGACCTAAATAGAAGCTTTTTTATCAGAATAAATGTTGAATTTTATTAAGTAACTTTTTAGAACATCAGAGATAAAGAGCAGATTCTAGATGCTTTCAGAGACTGAAAAGGTCACGTAATGAGGATCAGGAACCAGAATGGCGTCAGACTTTTTAACATCAACCCAGAACGCCACGTGCCAATAGAGAACTGCCTTGAGAATTCTGGAGGAAGATGATTTCCAACCAAGATTTATGCATCTAGCCAAACTGTCAATCAATTATCCCCAAACTGAACTCCCATATGCAGTTTCCAAGGAAGCTACTGGCATACACGTTAAACAACGAAGGGAGTGAACCAAGAAGGAAGATGGCTTAGGATCTAAGAAACAAGGAACCAGCAACGTAGGAGAGAAGTGAAGGGAAATCTCAGGATGATGAAGAGAAATTGCAGGACTTCTCCTATGCACACAGCCAGGACATCAGCTGGCCCGGGGGAGCACGAGGACAGGGGGCTTCAAGAAAAAAATAGGACAGCTCGGTTACCAGATGTGTTTGAATATATTGCTAGAAGCTAGGCATGTTTGTGGGAAGAATGAGTGATTTTACCAATTAAATGAAAACCTGAGGTGATTACTAACTCCAGGGAAAACAAAAAACCTGTAGAAGACAGCAACTATACCCCTAATACAGTATTTGGTTTAGCTGCGAATAATATATTTGTAGAGAGAATAATGTAAAAACTGAGTATTGATTAAAAACTGCGCTAGAACCATATTGGAAGGAAAAGTGGGTTTGTGTGTGGGGTCTGGTGGAGCAGCAGCAATTTTCCACAGAACGAAGCCAGTGAATAATATCTAAGAAAATAATGGTAAAGAATGATATTTAGAAACATGAAAGAAAATGCCAGAAGGAACAGCTAAAAGGGTGGAAAGTAGTTGCCTCTGAGGAGGGGGCTGGGGGTGAGGGAGAGACAGGACTGCTGCCTTCATTATCGGCTTCATGGTACCATTTGACTTTTAAATTTTTCTGCATAAATACTTTTATAAAAATATATATTTAATTTTAAAACTTCTGTATGTGTGTTACCTAAAGTCACCATTTGTACCACCTCTGCTCTCAGCAAAATGAGCTGAACAAAATTTGGGCAGACCAAGATGTCATTCCCAGCTCTGCAAATTACTAGCTGTGTGACCCTAGGCAAGTGGCTCAGTCTCTCTGAGCCTCCATTTTTTCCATCTAGAAAGTTGAGATAATTACCAGTACCTACATCATAGAGCTACTGAGACGGAACAATGAGATCATACTGGGCCTGGCACATAGAAGCATCCAATAAAAGGTGTCTGCTGTCACGGTTGTTGTCTCAATTTCGCTGCCTTCAATTCCTAGGTGATTAACTGTGGGCAACTCATTTAACTTCTGTGAGGCTCATCTTTAAAACTGGAATGAAATATTTGGAGCCTCTGAGGAGATCAACGGGACAATGAGTATAGAGTTCTTGGCACCCAATGTTTCTAATCCTCAGATTTCTCCTTTTTAAAATGAGAAAATCCCTTCAGGGTTTTTGAGAATGAAATGAGATGACACAGCTAACATCTCTAGCACAGTGCCAAAGACACAGTCATCTACTCAAAAAAGTCAGCTATGCTTAAGACTAACATCTTTTTTATCATAAAAGTACTGCTTAAACTTACACGGTGCTGTATGTCAATTATAAATCAATAAAACTGAAAAAAAAAAGTCACAAAAATAATACATGCTGACTATTCAGAATTTGGAAAATTTAGAAAAGTTTAAAAACAAAAATGACCAGTAACTTCCCTATTTCCTGATGATGTTCTTTCCACCTGTTTCCTATATTTATTGTATCAGTCAATATGGGGCAGCTTGGGCTGCAAGGAAAGCCATGCAGAAGTCTCAGGGGTTTCACAGCACAAAGGTTTGTTTCTGCTCCTACCCAGGTCACTGGAGTCTGGGGGACTCTCAGGGGTGCCCTCCCCACTGCGGTGGCCCTTGCCATCTTCCGGGCGCTGCAGATCAGCCACCTCCGAAGGCTGCTGAGGCAGGAGAGTGGGCTGGGGAGGGGAGCGCCAGCAATTAAATACGGCACCGGAAGTGACGCATTACGTCCGTCACATTTCATTAGCCAAAGCAAGTCACGTAGCCAAGCCTGTTCTCGGGAGAGGAGGAAGTGAATCCTCCAGCCGCCTGAAAGTGGCGGGAGTCTGATGTAGGTGAAGAGTGATCATGCCCGGCACACGCTGCACAACTGAGATCACATCGTGTATAGGGGTGCGGCTGTTGCTTTTGTCTCTTACTATTACATCATGAAATAGCCTGAAAACGTGGTGAACAGGCAGATTTAATAGAAGGGTTTAGTGGCACGGTGACATGATTTCCCTCTTCCTTTTTCTCTTCCTCCTCTTGTTCTTCTAACGTAGGGAACTGTGTGCAGGTAGCGGAGGTCCAGGGCCCAGGTCGTTGCATGCCATCGCTCCGAAACGCCTCCCCTCCCCCTCCAGGCCGACACGGGACAGGCAGGTCCTGTCGTTCCTTCTTGGGAGAGCTTGGCAGTTCCGTGGTGTTGTTCCCTCCAGAAGTAACACGTCTGGAAGTGAGGCCATGAGAACCTGCTGAACAACTGCCGGCTTCACAACTGCACATGTGGGGTGCGGCTGCACGCGGCTCTGCTGGGGCCGCCTTGCGCAGACAGTCAGCCGGTGGTGTGAACGTGCAGTGTTAAAAGTGACACCAGAGTGGTGGAGGCGTCACCGTCAGCTGTTGCATGAGATGACACCCGGCCTGCAGGGTTGGGTGAGAGCTCAGGAGCCGCAGCCCCTCCTTGCCTGGGTCCCAAGATCCCGGCACCGGCGGGAAGGGGTCCAGGAAGAAGCGAGCACGTCCCAGGCATGCAAAGTACGGGAAACGGGAGTGGGGATGGCAAGGAACGTGTCAAGGTCGAGAGGCTGAGAGCTGGAAGGGAAGGGAGGCGGGCAGGAAGCTCCACTCTGCCAAGGGTCGTTCAGTTCCGTTTCCTCCAGCAAACTTTTGCCAGGTGCCTGTTCTGGTTACGCAGACAGAACAGTTGTGATTTTCACAAAAGAAGTTAAAGACGACGTCTAAGGTTTAGAATCCAATTGTGCAAATGCTACTGCACACTTGAAACAATTCGAGAGGAGCGTAAGGCACGCTCTTGTCTGGTGTTGGGCTGTGTGCGCAGAGGGCGGGGTTTAGATGGCTTTGACAAGGGCACAGAAATGTCCTGAAGGGCTCCTTCCATCTCAGCTGCGACCACCCACGGAAGGTCCAGAGAGGAGAGGAGGGACGAGGAAACCAGGAGCAGAGAAAGGAACAAGGAGAAGGAGGAGAGGGTATTTAATCCTCCCCTCATGTCAATCCATTTTACAGATGGAGAAAAAACTGAGACCCAGAGGGCCTACCCAGCTTCCCCTGGAGGCAGAGCTGCAACTGGAACTAAGATCGTCCAGCCGGGTGCATTCTGCAGGAAGACCTGTCTGCATTTCTCTCACAGGCTAGGGATGTAGGTGTAAGAGCTGACCTGTGTCCAGCATCAGCTGGGGGCGGGACCATGATTCAGTGTAAAGTAAAACTCAAGAACATTCACTCCCTTGGGTGCAAAATAAAACATCGCCTCGAGCTTTACAGTTTACAAAACACTCTCCTGTTATTTATCTCATTTTCTCCTCACAACAACCCTGTGACAAACACATTGTTACTACCCTTTTTCAGTTTAGGAAACTGAGGCACAGAGAGAGACTGCTCTGCGTTCATAGAGCTCGTTAGGGATAGGATGGAGCCCAGGTGGGCTGATCCCACTTCCAGGCATTCTTCTATCCCACAAGCGATCCAAATATCGGCTCACTTGCTTGTTCTATCCCGTTTCTTCTTCCGAAGTGACACGCCCTCCACAATCCCAGCCTGGAGCTGACTGGACCAGGAGTGGATTTAGAGGGAGCCGCCCATTGGCTGGCCATCAGCCAATCAGATCCTTCTGGAGAGCAGGCCTGAGTCTGCACAGGGAGGCCCTGAGAGCTGGGGAATTGAGGGTGGATATTGGGGGGACTTCAGCGTGAAGTCTGCATATGCCTGTTTCTGCGGTCCTCAAAGCTGCTTTCATTTCTCCCTTAGCACCCCACCCCCCACACCCCCACACACCCTGGAATCTGAGTCTGGGAGCCCTAATAACTTTACCCTTTCTCTGCTCAAGGTTGGTAGGGACTCCTGTTCCATGCAAGTCAGGTAGCCCAAGGCACCAACAAAAGCAATTCTGCAGAATCCAGGGAGCCCAGGTTCAGCTGCTGAGCCCCAGCAAGGCATCTTCCTCCCTTTGAGAGGGTAGCTTATGCACCCTCTGGAGCTGCAAGGGCAGGAGCCCGGGCCCCCACCCGGTTGGCGCTGAGAACTGTAGCCACATTCTCAGCACACCTGGCCACGCAGCTGCCGCGTCCTCGCAGCCTCGCTGTACTCACCGGCAGGAGCTTGAACTACTTGTTTTAACAAGTCTCGCAAGCCTCCTTCCAGGTTGTACATTCGAGAAACGTTTGTGGAGTGCCTATCTGTGCCAGGCACCGTTCCACAAGCTCACATTTTAGGTTCACCCCCAACTCTGACCTGGGACAGGTTGTCCTGTTAGCCTCGCTGCTTGGCCGTGGAGGTGGGCCTCTCTTAGGTTCGAGTTTTCACTTCCTCACATGCGCTTCCAACTCTTCCCCTGGCTTTGCTGTCCTTGTAGATGATGGTTAAATGCCATCATCTCCATCTAATTCCTGGGAAGCTGGGTTTTGGCTCATCTCTCTGCTGGTCTTTGCATGTGTCCCAGCCCTACAAGCATAACCCAGACTTCTGCTAGATTGGGCCACACCAAATAGGGTCATGCAGAATTAGCTGTGCGCCCACCTTTGAGATGCTGCTGGAAGAGCAACGGTCCTGGGAGCCTAAGGCCATTTTCACAACCTACAGATATTCTCATCTGCCCCATCCTAACCACCTTCCCATCTGTATCCCATCCCTCCTTCAAGCTCTCCCCTTTCCTTCACCACCAAATAACCTCAAAGTGTGGTCTCCAAGGCCACCTCCATCTCCACCCATTCTCTCAGCAGTCCCAGGTCTGCCCACCCCCCCGCACCTGCTTCATACTCCACCCCAGGCAGCATCTCCTGCCCTCCCACACCCCTCCCCTTCCCCACAGTGACCTTCCCTTCCTGCCCCTCGGTTTCCCTCCCAGCCTCAGTGTTACCCCGATCCTTCCCCTCCCCTGACCACATCTTAGCCCTCCCTGGAAGCACATCATGACCCAGTTTACAGATGAGAAACGGAGGCTCAGAGAATATGAGGAAGCTGGCTGCGGTCATGCAGCTGGGAAGCGACAGAGCAGAGATTTGCCCCGAGTCCGGCTGCGGACCCACCGCAGGCTTCACCCCTGCACAGCCTGTCGAACCCACCAGACATGAGCAGCCATCCAGTGAAATCCCGTCGGGGCCCTGGTGCTCTGCTCACAGCACCTCCCTGTGGCCTTTGTGTCCCACTGGGCCACACATCTTGAAGATATTTCTCCATCCAATTTAAACTCAGATGTCATCTGTCACCTCCGCATTTCTGTCATGATGAGTAAGGCTGCCCATCCCCTCATTTCTTTAGAAGCCATTTGTGGTTCCTCTCTGTGAACGGCCTGTTGCTATTTGCTCGTTTTCCCTGGGGTTGCTGATTTTCCTCTGACTGTAGGAGTGATTTAGCATTTAAGGAAACTCACCCTTTGCCATATGTGTTGCAAATATTTTTCCAGTTTTTTTCATAGTGAGATTTTAATATAATATGCAGTCGAATTTTCAATATTTATTTTTTGGCTTGACATTTACTGTCAATCCCATCGGCCTCCTTCTACAGTACTCTTCCAGGCTTTTCGGGTGCAAGGTCTCCCCTCACCCTGCCCCAAGCCACATACACAGGCTGTTGGGGGTTGTCTGTACTCGGTTTTGCCAGCCTTCCTATTAACATTACCTTCAGCTTCCTCAGAAACAGGGTGAAACCTACATGTTAGCCCCTCCCCCTGAGGATGCTGTGGTGAAGTGGCAGCAACCCAGAGCAGGTGGCCCATCGTGGTCCATCTGCCCAGGGCAGTCTGGGGGCAGAGCAGCAGGAGGCCTTAGGACGCCCACTGGTGGGAAAGGACTCTTCAGCTGGGTGGGTGAGTGCAGGCTGCGGCAGGCGAGCAGGAGGAACTTGGAGGGGTCTGGAGACTGGATAGATCTATTCCAGGAGGAGAGCAGAGGGCATTCCAGATGGGAGCAAGGGTAAGAACAAAAGTGCAAGAGGATGGCCTGTGTGGAGGATAGTAAGCCTCCTGCCTTGGCCGAGACAGGTTCCTATGAGAGATGAGCGGGCAGAGGGCAGGCTGGGGACATCGGGGTCACCGGGCCCACACCAGGAGCAATAGCGGTGCTCACAGCTGCAGGAGCAGCGCTATGCTGCCTCCCACAGCGCGGGGCAGGCTCTGGGGTCCCCGGGGTCGGGGCGCAGGGAAGGGCGGGGGCGGGTTCTTAGAGCGGTCTGGTGATGCCCTAATTAAGCCGCGGGTACATTTCCCAGCGCAACTGTCACCCGCGCGCTGTGCAAGCCAGGAATGAATATTCCCAAAGCGCCAACAGAAGGAAGTTCTTCATAAAAACGGAGCCCGAGGGCGTGAAGGGAAAACAAGCCCTGTTCACACGCAGGCAGCGCATCCGCTCGGCACAGCCCCGAGGGGCGAAAGCGCGCCCGGCGTGACACCGTCGCGGGCGTCGCGAACCCCCAGCGCGCGCAGACGCTGAGCCCCGGCGCTGGAGGCTCTTTTTCCTGCCGAGCCCGGGCCCCCTGCGACACCCCGGGGCTCTCGACTCCTCTAGGGCCCAGAGCGCAGGGCGCCCCCCCAGGCCCCCCGTGGGGACCACGCGGCAGACACGCCCAGCGGCTCGCCGAGCCTCCCCTTGCTGCGGGGCATCCTTGCTCTCCGCGGGGTCAGGGGGCTCCCAGCCTGGGCCGCAAACGCCCTCTCCCTGTGTCTCCGTGACCCGGGACCTGGAGCGCGGCTCTGCTTCCTTCTCTGGTGCTCTGTTTCCTCCTCTGAAACGTGGGGTCAGTAACAACCGCTCCTGGCTGGTTGTGAGGATTGAAAGAGACGCACGTGTGTTACTGGCTGCTGTCATGGCTCCGTAAATGAGACATCAGGGGGGTGGAGAGCAGAAAAGAGGTTTTAAAAGGAATTTCTCTTTTTCCTGCTCCGAGGAGTTTGCTTTCTGCTGCTTTCTCCACGTGCTGCAGTGGCTGCAGGAAGGCTCTCCAGCAAGAGGTCATCATGGGCAGCCTCTGTCTAACCCCCTCCAGGGCTCCCAGCACCCACAAAGCAGTGGTCAACCTAAGATAACGAAGGTCCTCTGACTGGGCCAGTCAATATCCTGGGCTCCAGCTTCTCGGGAGCACCTGCACCCCAGCCAGGTCCAGATCGAGTGATTCCAGGACCAGCCATGTTGCTTTGCCGACCCCCCACCACACACACACCACCCCGGGTGACCCTGCAGAGGCTTTAGCACATGGCCTGGGCTTGATCCCAACTGGATGGGCCCAAGAGCACTGGGCCCCTTGCCGGTCTGCATTGTTATTACTCTGCCTCCAACTCACCCCCTCCAGTTCAGTGTCATCTCTCTGTTTACCTGCCAGTCTCTAGTCTTGATTGGCAGCTCCTGGGGCAGGTGCCCAGCCTCCTTCCTTCTGCTTCTCCAGCATCTAACACAGTGCCCGGCACACAGAGGTTCCCAGCAACTTTAACTGGCAGTGCTAATGGCAGCCGGATGGTGTGGGTGAGCAGCCCCACAGGAGCCTCTCTCCACAAGTCGCCAACACCTAGGAAGCCTAAAGCTCCAGCGTTGGTCAGTTCTTAGGGCATAGCTCACTGCAAATGAAAAACTGGGCCCTTTGCTAAAAAGTTAAGAATTTCAAGATGGTGACAACAGAGCATTAAACCAAGCACAGAACCCTTCTGGGCACGGAGCCCTTCCAAGCGCCTGACCCTGTGTTGCTCCCAGGTCACACCCCTGTGAAGCAGCCCCAAGCGTGGGTCACCTATTAGAGCGGTACTTTCTGCTGCTGTGCCTGTAATGTGGTCATGCTCGGCTGAAGAGCACATTTTCCCTTGTTGGGAAACAGCTTCTGAAAATCCTGGAATCAGAGGGCAAGGCTGTGGCCATTCTTCCAGACAGCCCAGCAAAGCTCCGATTAAAAACAAGAACAAGACTGTAAGGAGGGTCTCCTTCAGGTGACTCACCAGCTTCTCAGTGCCTGCCCTGCCCTTTGTCCTGCCGATCAGGTCTTTCTTCGTTTCTGGGTTCTGTGACTATTTGTTGAGCACTTGCTGCCTGCTGTCTGCGGGATAGAGCAGGGACTAGTGTGGATAAAGCCCCTGCCCTCCGAGGGCCCACACTGTAGCGGGGGAGACACATGATAAATATAAATAAGGAGACAAATACATAGTATAATGTCAGGGAGTGCTGAGTGCTGTCTGGCCAAAACAAAATAAAAAATGGCAGATTAAGGGGATAAAGAGCAGGATGGTTGTAATGGTAGGTAGAGTGGTCAGGGAAGGCCTCCCTGAGGAGGTGTCTTTTG